GAGAGGGGGGTCTGACTTGATGCAGAGGAGTGAATTTGTTTACTAGGAGGGGTATACCTTCTGATTGGGTGTGATGGGCTCTCGTTATCTTGCAGGGGGCCAGTGCAGCAGCCTATGAGATGAGAGAAAAGCCCACTGTCATCTTCGTCTTGGGTAAGCCGTTTTCTTGGGATAGGGGTTTATTTCTCGAAGTCTTACAAACAATCTCTTTTTACTGTTCATCTTCAGAGGAAATATAATAGAATCCCCTTCCCACCTCCTCCTCCTCCTCCCCTCCAGTTCTTGTTCTAGTGTTTGGTATTGCTGATCCTCTGTTCTCCCCCCTTCCTCTCCCGCACTCCCCCCCCCGCCCTGCTGCCCCCCTTCCCCTGTCGCCCCTCCCCGTCCTTGTTCCCACTTTTCTTGCTGTTCCTTTTCTTTCTTTGGGCCTTGTTCCACCATCGCCTCACCATTTGCCTGTTTGCCAAGATTGGCGAATGATGCACTGTCCATTCCAGTGCTACCTTCTTCACCCGAATACAACGTACGATCAATATAACTGTATTTGGGCTATCTTTCAGTCTAAATAGTAAATATACAGTTATAATGACCGTACGTTGTATTCGGGTGAAGAAAGTAGCCATCCAGAACTCTTGGCAAGGGACTGTCAAAAGTTATAAAAGGTGAAACTTGAAATGTCACGCTGCAGACGGACACGAGTACTGAGTTTGTTCGCATGCCGTTGCAAAGTTGACTTTGTGGAGGGAAAACCTGTAAAAACAAAACAAAACGAAAACAAAAACAAAAAAAAAAACAAAAAAAAAAACTTTGTGCAGGGAGATAGGATAGTGCTTGGATGCAGAAGTACTGCAGCGAGTTAGTCCATGCGTGTACAGTTGAGAGACGAGCACTCTTCACACACACCTCAAGCACTCGTACCCTTCACGATAGTCAACTGTCTCGGAAAAATCGAAACGAAGCTTAGCTCTTAGAAATTGACGACGAATGCCGAGCTTTACCGTAAGCGCCTGATGGGCCTACGCTGGCGTTCCCCGACGCCGCGTTTCGACCGGGAGGTCCTTGTGACCCCCCTTCTAGGATGTCTTTCTGGCGACCTTTTACAAGCACCCTGCTGTCCTTGTGTGTGGCGATTTGCTCCGCTGCCCTTTTGTGTGTTTGCCATTTGTGCCGCGGTCCTGTCGTGTTTGCGATCAGGACTGGTGGGGAGTGCGTGTCATGGCGAGTTGGTGGAACTGTGCGCCTGACACGGGCGTGAAAAAAAAGAACAACGGGCTTTGCTGGTGCAGTGACTTGCCATAAAGTTTGAGGGGGTGAAAAAAAAATTCAACAGAATGGATGGCAGATAAACCAAAAAATAAAAAAACTTGTCATCAATCCATAGAGTGGACAACAAACAAAGTAAAAAAAAAAAAAAAGGAAACGGTGAAAAAAGTTGACAAAAAAAGAAAAAAGGAAGGAGCCTCGAACCCAAGGCAAAAAAGGTTTTGGCATCTACGTTAACAAGTGTGCCCCGCTTGCCCAGCCGGGTCCAAAAATGAACAGAAAAAAAAAAAATTAAAAAGGGAAAAAAAAATAAAAATTTAAAATTTAAAATAAAAAAGTTTTTTTTTCAAATTTTACCTAGGCTACCAGAGTGGCCCGGGTTCACTTGCCCGGCCGGGCCAAAAAGAAATAAAAAATTAAAAAAAATAAAATGAAATTTTAATTAAAATTTTTATTTTAAATTTGGTAAAGAATTTCGATGTGACCCTGAGGCAAAAGTTGTTCAGTTTATTTTTCTGCATATCATAGTTTTGTTTTCGATTTTTTTTTTTTTTTTTGTCTGGGACATTCCCTGGTTCTTGTACGGCCGGGTCGCCCGGGAAAATAGGGTGACCCAGGCGGCTCGGCTGGTAGCCTAGAATTTTACTATTTTTAGTTTTTTTTAATTAAAGTTTGGCAAAGAATTTCAATGTGACCCTGAGGCAAAAGTTGCTCACTTTATTTCAAGCACAACATAGTTTCTTTTTTTTTTTCTTTTTTTTTTTTTGAAATTTCACAGGGATCTTCCTTGGCCGCGCAGCCCAGTTGGTAGCACAGGTTTCCATGCAAAATTCATTCACCTTTTACACTTCTTCAGGATTTTCAGGATTTTCAGGGCTTGCCAAAATAGTCATCTCCAAGGCTCCCACAAGCATCAAACCTTGGCATACAAAAACCTTGAGCAGAGAAAAAATAGTGCAAAAGAGAAAAAAACAAGTTAAAAAAAACAGTAACATACTGAAAAAAAGAATCCCTAAACGCCTTTTTAAGTGTCTGGGGGGTTAACCTATGGGCTAAAAAGTGGGGGTCCCTGTTAACCACTTGTGGGATGGCGATTAGTGGGACAAGGAGTCCCTTATGTAACTATCCTCACCAGGTCTCATTTCCAGAGAGGATGACACTGCAGACTGGCATGAAAAGACTTCAAAAAAGAATCGATGTTATTATTTTTTTTAAAGCAAAGGACGAGTACTACGGGCACCTCCTGAGGCCTGGCTTCCACCCTCTACTATTGAATTTCAAACTTCAAAGTGCAAAGTTGCAAACCTGTTTTCATTGTAGGGTAAATTTGCAATTAAGCTCTGTGATTTGCGATCATTTGATCTCTACTACTTTAGTAATTTCTGATGTTTGCAGCGTGGCCTTGTGATGCCATAGCTTTGCAGCAGACCCCTGTTAGAGGGGCAGTCAATTCGCACCATGTCCCTGAGCGTCCAGCACTTGCACCCTCGTTCCCTGGTATCTAATGGTACTGAGGGAAACCGGCAATAGGAAAGTGAATAAAAAGACAAAAAAAAAAGCAAAAATATTGCAAAACATCTAGGAAGATTTTCATGACCTTGCCGGTCACACCGGGATACCTGGGTATGAAAAGAAAAAAAATTGGTGGTGGAAGTTTTCCGTGCTCTCCGAGAGGAGCCCAAATCCGGTCTCTTTTCTTTTTTTGAGTGTTGGCTGTCAAGGGGGGGGGGGGGGGGGAGAGGGGTATAAATTGTTTTTAAAGGGGCTAAAGGGGTTTACAAGGGGGGTGCCTTTAATTTTTGTTTTTTTGCGCTGGGGCTGCCCGTGACCATGCCCGGGGCGCATGCCCGGCCGGGCACCCGGGCATGTATCCGGGCACAACTTGGGTTCCCAGGCGCCCGGGAAAACAGCCTAGCAAAACATCGAAATTCCCCCAACAGCAGACAACACAGAAAAAAGCAAAAACGACTCCAGATTTCGATTGCTTTCGCTGGGTGCCGAAAAGCCCCACCGACGAAAAAATTAAAATAAAATTCCCGCTGTTCTTGCATGCCTGCGGTACCCTGGGCGAGTAGACGATCTGGTGACCTGCATGCGTGCCCGGCTATGCAGCACTGGTAGCCAAGGTTGAAACACAAATTCTCCCGTCTTTGTAAAACAATGAAATAAACCACCAGTACCCACTGCGCTCTAACTTCTTAGGCCATTAAAGCAGCGGATGAATCGGCCTGCCGCGTGGGTCTGTATTCATTCAAGTCAGAGGGGGGCTAGAGGGGGGCTAAAACTGCGGTAGGTACTGGTGGTTTAAGCTGAGTTAAGCTTTTTGCGGAAGCACAACAGAGAAATCTGCAAGTCAGGTAACTCAGCTTAACTGTTTGACAAGTTAGTGCCATTCTTCCTCCTTTTTCTCTTTTTGTTGTAAGTAATTTAAAAGTCAGATAAATTAAACCACCACTACCATTTAAAAGAAATACAAAATAATTAGAATGAATAAATAAAACCACCACTACCCACCCGGTGTGGCCGAATGCTACAGTACCCCACACACTTAACTGTTAGAAAGCAGATTACAAGTTCGCATCCTGACAGTAGCAGGATCCTTCGTCTGGGGCAGGGTCTCACTTGCTTGGATTAACTTCCGATTAAGAGATACTGTCCGTAGAAAATTAGGATCGATGGCCAAGATCTCTTGATCCATGCAACTGAGATCTCGCCCCTGGAGGATTGTCATTCCGCCGCACAGTGAGAATGTATACCTGATGAGTCTGTGAAACTCAGACGAAACAGTTTGTCGCAGCCCCTTGTTTGTTGTCGTCATCTCCCTCTCTGCCTACGGTTTACCGGGCAGCTCTGTTTGATGATATATAGAGGGTTCAGCCTCCTGATGAGTCGGTGAAACTCGGACAAAAGAGTTTGTCACAGCCCCTCGTTTCTTGTCCTCTTCTCCCTCTCTGCCGATGGTTACCAGGCAGTTCTATTTGACGATATATATATATATATATCTATATCTATATATCGTCAAATAGAACTGCCCGGTAAACCGTAGGCAGAGAGGGAGAAGAGGACAACAAACGAGGGGCTGTGACAAACTGTTTCGTC